TTGATTATGGGTGTGAGAGCTACACCTGCCCTGGGGTGGATAGTTTGCATATGTAAGGGAGAGGAAGAGGCTGCTTGCAGCCATTCCTCCCTTTTGTGTTTGTTGCTTTTGCTGTGTTCTGCCTCCATGAGTTGTAGCCCTCTGCCATGTGCCACTCTGCCTTGTAACCTTCCAAGTATGGACTGAAAGCTCCACAAACTGTAGGTGAAATAAACATTTCCTTCATTTTGGGCATCAGATATTTTGTCCCAGCAATGAGAGAAAAGTAACCAAGACACATGTATGTCAAGACTGTAGATCACTTGACTACATCTGAAAATTGAATAATGTATTTTGAATTCTCTTAACTGAAATTCACAGATTCATGAGGAAAACGGAGCATTATTTTTTCATTGTACCCAATAGAATGTACTCTGGTGCTGGTCATGTTAATTATTTAGACTGTTAAGGCACAGCTGTTACAAAAGCAACCGAGTTGCCTGTCAATTTTATTTTTACTGATTTGATCTCTCAATAGTAATGAAAATTTGCATTTTAAAATTCTAGTTTTCAAATATTTAAATTCCCTGGTCATTTTAAGCAGTGCATCTCCATCACATATATCTAAAAGATAAAATAAAATGAGAATTTATGCTGAAACTTGCAGGGAAAAAATGAAGCTTAAGATTTTTACATTTTGGTTCAGGCTAAGTGAGGGTGGTGGTGATTTCCAACAGACATTAAGTCCAAATAAGTAGAACTCCAGCACAGATGCATCTCTTCTATCCCAAAGGAAATAAGTTCCCTAGCCAAGGTTGACGCTGGCCGATGTAAGTATGTTATGTAAGCAAAGTCTTTACTGCCACCTGGCCACTACTGTGTGTGTTGGTATAAATGTAGACTAAGCAGCTAAGCATTGCTATGGGGGACACTGAGGGGCCAAGGATGTCTGAGAGAATGGGCTGGCACGGAGACTGTGAATGTTCAGTGACTGGTGGTCACAACAGGGATGAACGGGTAGGTTGTGACTATTGAATCCAGCCAAAGACTTTGCATGTTTTCTTCGAGATGTGCAAAATGTGAAGCTCCTCATTCTAAATTGGTGACAAACTATACATGTAAAAACCACCTTTATTAAAATCCCCCAATGAATGATTCTGAGCTTGACAATAAGTTTATCTTTATGAAGATATTGACTATAGAATTCAGTCACTTGTAATTAGAGCAATCATACATAGATTATGGTTTCATCCTGAGGCTACAAATTAAGATTAATTTAATTAAAGAATACTATGAATTAAATGCATAATTTCCTGAAAGGTGAAATATATTTTTATTTATTTTGATCTTGTCCACTGATTTCTAAGTAACATTCAGGTTAGTCATTTTTCTCCCAGTCTTCTGTCTTGGTTTGCTCCTGTATTCATACATCTGAGTAGGGAAATATTTCATAGCACAATTTTTATGAGTATAGTTTCACCTTTAAATTATTTCCTGAAGTATACATTTTAAAAATTTTCTCTCTTTTGGAAGTAACAGTTATTATCTATATTTACTGAGAGCTATTTACAAATAAAAATTTGTATAAATGTAAGCAGAGGTTTTTTCTGATAACTGCAAAATTAAGAGATAGGCCTTCCTGATTGGATAGTAACTTCTCCATAATTACTTTCTAAGTGGTAAGTTACATTTGATAGTTTATAAAACTATTAACCCTGTTCTCCTTGGTAACACACTAGATTTTTGAAGTTTTAGCTCATTAGGTACCAGTTTCTATATTACTCTGTAACCTTATAGATGCCTTATGAACCTTTATTTCATGAAGGATGTCTAGGGAATATTTGTGGTGTACTAAGTGGAACATTTAAATCATTATCAAATTTATTTGAATTTTTGAACATAGTAAAGGCAATCAACCACTCTTACTCTGTCTCTCTACCATACTTATTTTTAGCTCACCATTGTATATATTTTTATTTGAATTTTCTTAACTCAGTAGCATTACCTCTTACATCATTCAGCATATCTGTGCACATTACCTGATTGACTGTTACAACTGAAAGCAAATGATATTGACAGATTCTCTTGAGCATAATTCCTTAAGAAGTTCAATCCTTAATTAATTAATAGTCTTTAACTGAAATTTAAATTCTGATGCTACAAGAAAGTTACCTATCATAAGTTCTCAGAAAAAAGGCACATCCAAAAATGTTTACAATTATTAGGTGATTTTGGAATACTTGGACAACTGTTTTATCTTTGACTGGTAATGTACTGAAAAAGTTGCTTAAATGTTGTGTACTAATACTCACTAAATTAAAAATAATACTGATACCTCATTTTAATAATGTACTTCTCATGGTTTATTTTTTTCTTTGAAAATACTGCAGAAAACCTGCATTTTTAAAATTAAGTTAAACTCCTAAAATATTGGACTTCTTGTAGTAAAACTACATGAATTCTACTACAAACTGAAATTGTATTTATATATGTGTATCAATTTAATATATACATATATTTACTCAGAACATATATATTAGTATTTTCATAATTTGCATAACATCATTACAGTCTGAGAATCACTATAAATCTACTAACAGTAATATGCCAGAGTTTCTTTACTCTTCAGGAAAGCAAATAAAGTATATTACTTTTAAAATTTCCTGATTTCTTTGGTTAAAAAAATACTGAAGTTTAAATAAATAAATAAAAACTGAGAAACTCAAGAAAAGTTTATACTCTGACTCACCCCTTTTAAGATTGAATATATTTAGTATTGGGGACTCTGGATGCAGATCACTGTGTATTTAGCACTTACATAGCATGTGTAAAGCTCTAGGACTTGCACTCAGTACAGGAAAAAAAATTATTTTTTAATTGACAAATTAGACAACAATCTTTTGTGATTCTCACATTAGAAATTTCTGTGTTTTCTCCCTATCTAGAAAAAATATGTTTTTCAGTTTGTTTTTATTATAATAAAATTAAACAAATTATGTTGCTCTTAATCTTTACAATATGAATAAATCCCCTTGATAAACATGCATTAATTTTAAGTAAATTTCATTACTTTGTTAAATATACAGTTAAAATATGTGTTCACATTATATTTACTTCATGTTACATATTCCATGAATTATATTCATATAATGTGATAAGCAGGATGCTATTTACTTTCAATAGATAATTTTCTATAATTCTTACGATAACCCCATGGACTGAATAGTTTAACCTTCACCATGAGAAGATGTGACCTCAAAAGTTTGTGGACTATCCTGAATCACACCACTATTAAGCTTCAAAATGGAGATTCAATTTCTGCTTTCTAAACAGTAGAGCTTCTGTACTTCACATTATAGAAATCTCTGACAATATTCTTGATAAATTCAGCAAATTTGCTGTGTTTACTCCCCTCTTCCTATTCTCTCCTCTGTGGCCTGAAATTGGTGTGATTTTAACTCCCTTTAATGTTGCATGCAACTTCTTTGACAAGTGATCTCTGCCGTGCCATAGACATAAACAATTTTCTATATTATCTGACTAACTTAACTCCTCCTAAGATATTCTTTCCAGATTTGTTTCTTTCTCTATTTTCACAGTTGTGTTAACATATTGATTACATGTTGCAAAATATGACAAAAATATGTTGTACTATAAGAATTAAAAGAAATAATTTTCAAAGTTTGTAAAGTGATTAATTTCCCATAAAGTAAAGCTTCAAGATTTTAATAGAAGAATCAACCTTCAGGGATATAGTCTAAGAATGAGTTACTTAAAGACAAAAAATAAACATTTATTTTGAGCTACAATTTACCCAAAAATATATTGAAGGAAGTTTTCAAATTTATACCATATGTACTGAGGTAAGACATATATGCATACATATATGCATGCATATATGCATGAGTAATTCAAATTATAGTGCTCCATATAAATCTATCATATAGTCATAAAATTGAGAAATTACACAGAATATGGAATTGTATAACTTTAGGTGTTTTAAATAACCGACAGATTTTCATAACTTAAAATACGGTAATAAAAGTGCAGTATAGTGAAAATAAATATCATTATCTTTAAACAACTTTCTGTTCTGATTTTTACATTTTGAATGTCAACTTTCAATTAACCTGGCTTCAGAGTGCTCACACGTAAAAGGAAATACAGTCATAAGTATATGCCTTTGGGCTTATGCACCACACTAAAATTTTAGAGTGAATAATACATGGTGACTCATTCTTCACTTGACTTCTTAGATGTATGTAAATATAAAAATTGTTAATTCAATGCATAATATATTTTTAGCATGATTTAAAATATTGCATGAGCCTTTTAAAATTCAATTTGAAATCTACCAGTAAAATTTTGAAATTATGTAGAATGATCATTTGTAAAGGTGAAATTTTACCTTGTACTAAACCAAATATTTTTATCAAATTACATTTTCCATATCATAGCTTTATGTTGATTCCCTTATAATTTCTTCAAAAATATGAATTGTAAAATGAAAGTTATTATTAAAAGGTTATTGCTCTCCATGTTTGTAAGTTATAAATTTTCAATAAAATTATCTCATAAAAGTTGTTAGTGTGTTATTCATCCAATATGCTGTAATATATTTAAATATAAATTAAACTTTTAATACCACTTCATGTATTAGAGGCTAAATATCTTTATTAATTATTTAATTATCACTCTGTGAATAGGTGTTACTTAATGTTAAATAAGATGGTATTCATTCACTAATACTATGTATTATTTATTACTACTGTTTATTGTATAACTTTAATGAATGAGAAACTCATTTACATGTTAAGAATTAGGGCATTCAACTCTTAAGTTTGTCATTCAAGTATTTGTTTTATTGAAAAGTGAACAGTAATGGGGAACTAGTATTAAAAAGTAATTTAAATATTCTTTAGTTTCTCTGATGGCAAATATTTGAGAATTAGTTGTGAAAATAGTTTATTACTCAATAATGGGTAATTCATTTAAAAATGTTTTTTCTTCTCCATATCTAGAGAAAAATGCCTGTTCATATGCAGCGTAAACAACCTAAGGCAAATGTGTGACCTGCAGATTCTGGCAAAGTCCAGACAGGCGTGAGAGAAGGACCTGGGCTACAGGTACATAGCATTTTCTTTGTTTCCACACTTGTAGTTATGAAAAATCATTACCCAACAAGAAGATATGTAATGTAATGGAACAAGAAACCTCACATTTGTGGAAATAATATTAGAATAGGGACTGATGGAAATAACTTAAGAATAGGGACTGACTTAACATTGTTTCAGTATTAATATTATGTTAACATTTTCTTAACATGCTCCGTGTATGGATGAGTCTACTTTGATGTATCCATATCTACATAAATCACATAAATGCATATATGCATATTAATACATATCTAGGGATATATTTTCATATATTTTTGTCTATATCTAATACATTTATTTCATTAAAAGCTGCTTAATTTTTGGTGTTTCATCATATGTATATATGGGAAAACTTTGTTATTATAGAATAATTTGATGTATCTTTCCCATTTCAATGTATTATTTCTTTATATTTGTCTTAGAGTTTTTTTAAGGAATATAATTATTAGAGGAAATAAGTATGTTTATCTTGCTAAAAATTTCGTGTGGCACTCCATTATGTCCAAAGTTTTTTCTTTTAAGCATTAGTTAAAAAATAAGTGTAAGAAGAAAACTGTCTGTAGGACCCAACTATTTCCTAGAGTAAATTTACTTTCCATTTCTCCTCTGAGAATGTCTCAATCACGTTTTATCTTGTTATGTGTCTTACTATTCTTGTAAATTTTGTATGAATATTTCCATTACTTTTTCTATAGAATTTTTGCGAAGATTTACTCAGTTTCCTACACAGCATTCATGTGAAACTTGTTTAGAATTTTTTTTATCCCATTTTGCTTTGTTCTCACTGGGACACATCTGTATTTCCAGCACTAGGGAGGCAGGAGGATCGTCCCGAATTAGAGGCCAGCCTGGGCTACATAGTGAGCACAAGGCCTACATAGTACAACTCTGTCCTCTCTCTCAAACAAAAGAAAATTAACATAATTATCACAGAAATACCTAGATGTTCATTTGTCCCTCTTCCCCCTCCAGCTTTATATTTTCCTTGGAAGAACGTGATAATTCAGATTTATTACATTACCTTTAGTTAATAAAATATCGTTTTGGCAATAAATACTTCTTAGACCATTGAGATTTCAAATCATTCCAATGCCTATTCCTATTGCAGTATTTATGGGAGATTTCAAATATAATGACAGTAGCATTTTTGGGTAATTTTAAGATTTTTTTCCTTTGAGATTCACTTTAGCTGATTCATACATAGACATAAAGTACTGTGATCATTTTCATCTCTCATCACATCCTTGCCTATCCTCTCCCTTAGTTTCACATCTTAGCGGTGCTTTTAATGTGTACCATGTATTTTGCTCATACCCTTCCTCTTTATTCTTTGCCCCTTTTGTGTGTTTATATTTAAATCTTTCTTCTTGTCAATGCCGTGTATAATGACTAAGAAAAATGCAATAATAAAGTATTAGCTTCATATAGTCCTTATTACTACACTTAATGTACTTATATCTATTTTCTATTTAATAATTTGTAATTATTAACTTTGAAGGACTGAAATTTCTCAATTGTATGTAATGTTTTACTTTGCAAATGTCGCTATTTTATGAGAATTTCATAGCATCTAGTTTTATTGCTGTTTTATTTTAATGATTCTCCTCTTATGCTAAATCTATGACTTTTATTGAGAGCAACAGAAACAACTATGTACATATTAATTCTACACAATTAACATTCTAAAAGCAGTGCAACAGTCTTATTAGTTACAGAAAAATGAGTTTATATTTCATGCCTCATCAAAAGGGAAGGCATTGCTTACACAGTAACAAATCAATTAATCAGGGCTCAGGTGAATTTATATGGGAAATATAGGTTTTCAATATGGCCTTATATAACGCTCCACTACACCATTAGAAAGATAATGAGGGAAGAAGAAATTAGTACTGGGCATAAAAAGTGTAGATCTTCGTACACTACTAAACTGTGAGACTGAATCGATAACATTAAATTTTGTATTGACTTTAAATAATTTTCTAGGTGAAATGCTCTGACCACCTACTTATTCCTGGTAGAAAGATGGGAAGAAAGGTAAAGACACAGAGAGAAAAGACATTCTATGATAATAATGCTATAAAGGTAAAATCACAATGTATCCTTCTAAAAGGCCAGATATTGTTGTATTTATTTATTTATTTTCATTCATGTAAGGGGTTATATTTACTCCCAGATGAAATGATACTTGAATGAATATTTTTGCAAGATTCTAAATTATATTAGACATACATTTTAGAAATATGTCACTGAAATAAATATGTCCATAAGAATGAGCATTTGTTTACTGGTATTGAAATGTATTTTCATATAAATGTGTCATAAAGTATATTTGGTAGCATAGGAAATAGCACAATTACTTTAAAAATAATTTACACTTTTTTTGTAAAGTGAAAGTACACAAATTCTATACCTCACAATTACACTGTAAGTTATTTCACCAAGGTACATAAAAATATATATCTAAGCAAAAGACTTGTACTAATGTTTATGGAAACTGTTTTAACCAGTTGCTCAAAACTGGAAATCACAGAATCACAAATGAATAAACTAGCAATAATATGTGGCATACTCATTGAATTTACTAAAATTTAGGAGTGAGGATGAAATAATGCTACAGACAGCAAAATGGGCCTAAAATATTTTGTTAAAATAATAAGAAACCAAAAATAAAGAAATACATACTGAGTGACTGAGCCAATTAAAGTGAGTTTCCTCAGCAGAAATATGAGCTATGCTATCAGAAATAAGTGCATTAATTAAGTTGGAATGACATGTTTACCAAAATGGAGCACAGTAAAAAGATATATGGGAAATTTTCAGTGTCTTAATTGGGATGAAGATTATATTGATAAACGCATCTATCAAAACTCACCAGACACCTTCTTCCCTCCCTCTTGTTCCTTTGTGTCTTCTTTTCTATTATCATTGCTTCCTTATTAGTGAAAAAGTCATTAAATAAAAATTAATGAAAAGTCATTAAGTAGAAATGAGTGAATGTCAGAGATTGTTTTTTATACACAGAAATGTAAAAAATATACTAAGAATAACAGAAGCCAATTTTCACAAATGGAAAAAAGCTCCTCAAATATAAAAAAGAAAAATTCCAAAATCAATTGTGTGTTACTTTACTGAAACTTGAAGCATAGAGAGGCACTCAGAGATCTAGAAATAATTGTAGATATAAAATTCTCTGCATTTCCTCACATATATGTTGGTATTCCTGCATGTATCCCCTAACTGATGCTGTGTAAATTAAAACTTGGATAAGAAATAGGATATCAGTTTACTCTGTATGTGTCTCTCTATCTATAAAGCAAAAGTAACTTTACAGAAGAGAAGATAATCTTTTCTGATCACACTTGGTATTTAAATCAAATTTATGTAACAATGAAGGAACAGATCATTGATCAGGGTAACATGGTACTTGACAGGCAGGAGTGATAAATATAAAGCATTTTTTCTGTGATATTTTTGCCCCTAAAGCACTGTACAAATGCAGTCATGGGAAATATAAACAGAAACTAAAGGATTTTATTTCAGTACTAGGCATTAAATCCAATTATTTCGAAGAGAGCTGTGTTCCTAGGCTTCCCTGATTTTTGCTGGGGAAGGAGTCTTGTTGAAGCACTAAATTGCGCAGCCTGAGTTTAAACTTGCCTTTCTCCTGTCTCAGCCTACCAGACTTCTACAATTAAAGATGTGTATCACAACACCAGTCTAATAAAAGATTTTCTACAAAGTAGCATTCTATAGTTTTCAAAAATATCTACAATGTGAAGCTCAACAACAAAGAAGAGGGGCTGGGGATTTAGCTCAGCGGCAAAAGCGCTTGCCTGGCAAGCGCAAGGTCGTGAGTTCTGTTCCCGGTACCGGAGAAACCCCCCCCCCAAAAAAAAACAACAACAAAGAAGAACTGTTCTGGATTAAATGATATCTAAATTCAACATGTGACTGTAAGTTGCTTTTTTTATATAGGGACTCTACTGAGGCATGATTTGATGCTACCATTGTTAATTTTGTATAATCTTGTTAGGAAATTCTGTATCATTTTTATTTCTGTTTGGTTTTGTTTTTGGCTTTGTTGCTATTTTGTTTTGCTTTTTTACTCTTTAAAGAAGAAAAGATTTTGACTTTTTTAAGGTCTTTTTTTCTCGAATTGAACTTAAGCAGTTAAAGAAAACCGAAGAAACAAAACTATATCTAACTGTGCTACTTAGTCACAATTACACCCTTAAAGTGTACCTCACTGTAAATAATTTTATAAATTTTGTTGTATTTATATATTTCTAAAAGCAGAGCAGAAAAGAGCAGGAAATGGAAAGCTCAAACTGAGAAGTCAGTTCATAGACATCAATGACAAGTGAGAAACATGAAGGAAAATGTGTTCAATTTTATTCATGTTTAAGACAATGTCCAATGTCATTTACTTCACTGACAAATATTTTTGAATTTGAACATGATAATGTGGACACTTAGAAAAACACACACATATTTTATTAGTAATTTAACATAGAATACTATAAGTGATTATCAATTTGCAAATAAATTTCTCACCTTGCACTTATTTTCATGTTTTATTTTGATAACAGCATATTTTATGAGAACTTTTTTGTTTTAGTTTATTCAGAATTTCTGAGATTTTTCTTACATTTTATTTTGTTTTGGTTTTAATGCTTAGTTATAGAGTGTATTTTCCTCTATGCAATATTTGCGACTGTAAGATATAGTTTGTCTTTAATTTGATTACAGACTGTGTATCATTAGAGTATTTATTTACCAAAAGCAATGACTCTCTTTATTTTCTGTACCAAACTTGTTGTTTTTGTGCCGGGAATCAAATTCAGGACCTTGCACTTGCCAGGCAGGCACTTATGCCTCTGAGCTATATCCCTGGCCCCTGTATACCACTCTTTTTGATAGTATGAATTTTTCAGTTACTGTTAACTGCATAGCCTAAATAATTTTCCACTGGATCTTCACTGATCTGATATTCCTAAAGGTTTGATGGGTTGATAATTTTTGTTCCTCCAAAAGTAGACTTTTATTTAACTCCTTGATGATTTTAATATTTTAACTATACACATATGTTTACATTGGCAGTTTTAAGTACTTTTTATCACTTAAGGTTTGTGCATACTTTTGCGGAGCTCACTCAGTTTTTCTCTGACATACTATTTGTTCCTTTGAAAATTGAAACATGGAATGATGTTAAATATAAATCCAGAAAAGCAGATCAACAATATTTATTGAGAGCCCCAGCTTACTTCTGTCTGGTTTGCAAATCCATTGCTCAGGTTCAAGGAGAAATAAATTCTAGTGTGGGCCATTTCAATTCTTAACGGATTGCAAAACTTGCCCAATTTTTAGTGTTTTACTGTTCCTCTGCTAAGAAACGTGATGATAAGAATTCATATAGTTCAAATACACAAGCTCAGGACTCCAACGAAAGCCAAAGCCATTTAGTAATCAGGACAAGGGGTGATTGAAGCATCAATGCTTCAATTAAATATATATGTAAAAGACATAGTGCTATTATTACCCCTCAACATATGTCCTCTCATTTTATACACACTAAGTAAATAATTCTTCCACTTTCTGAATCAATTTAGCAAGTTTTCTTCATAAATGTTTTTACAAAATGTGAACAAAAATATAACAAATACCACTGTTGAGTGTCACCTAACAGAAATGTAGGCGAAAAACTGTACTTTGTGTCCTCATCCACCTTATTCACCAGCTTTTGTACCATGTGACTTCTGGCTTTTCCCCAAAGTCAAAATGAGAATGAAACATAAAATTTGGAATTGACAAACTACAGAGGCAGCCATGACAGCACATTTAAAAACACACAAAGGGCTTCCAAATGCATTAAGAAATTATCAAGAACACTGGGATAGGTGTGTTTGAAATGTGGGGGAATATATTGAGGGAGATTAATGGCAATGTGCTCTTTAGTATAAATACTTTTTGTTTAATCACAGACTATATTTTTATTATTTCAATTTGTACTGTTCAAAATCCAAGAGCTGATAGATGTGCACTAATTAAACTTTCAAGAAAAGTCAGAGAAGTCGTTATAAGGCAAAAATATAAGGCACACTGAATTCTGAGCAGCCTGTAGAAATCAGCTCAGTCACTACTGTTCTCTGATTATACTGTTTCCTGTTGCTATCCTGATAATGCTCATCTTTCCACACAATTCAAATCTATTTTATGTGACTCCCTCTGTAGTATATGTATTATTGTTTTAAGTGCAAATACTTTCAATTTATGATCACTGTATCATATAACAGTAGTGGTATTGAAGATAGTGTTTGAAAATATTTTTATCTGCTATTTATTGCATTTTATTTCCTCAGTGCCAATTTTTGAAAGGTTAATTCTCATTATTTCTTTTTTTTTTTTTTTTTTTTGGTTTTTCTCCGGTACCGGGAACCGAACTCACGACCTTGCGCTTGCCAGGCAGGCGCTTTTGCCGCTGAGCTAAATCCCCAGCCCCAATTCTCATTATTTCATATGTAAGTAGCTAGTTGTTTTTCACTGATTCCTACTACTGTATGACATGCTTATACCATATTTCAGTTATTCAGTATTCCAAATATAGACAACAGTTTGTAAAAGTCCTTATAGATACGGACTTATTTGAGAGTAATTTCGAGGTATTTTTCAGGCCCTAATTCCTTCATCATTGCTTTGGCATATGTTCAATTTGCTAAAGTGAGAAAATTGAGTCTCCTGTCTCAGATATCACTAGTGCCTATGCTGCATTTTAAGTCAAAATGATCTTTATAACTATAGTAGAGGTAATATGGTATCTATTTGTTTTCTTCTTCACTTATGAGATTACAAAATGAATTACAAAATACCTTCGTATCCATTTTAGTTAATGAGTTTAATCTTCCCTGGATGGGCTTTTCCTTGACTCATTTTCTGATTTGGATTTCTGTCACTTTCTAGTTGGTTTATGGTCATTAGTAAATTTTACTATATCACCCACAAGCTAAATATTAAATATTCTCAGTCTTATTCATTTTTCTTTTATCTTTTTCTCTTATATCTTCATCGACAATCATCATTCTTT